TTGGCTTTCTCTGTGCCAAGGCTGAGAACCTAAGAAAGCGATATACGGCCACAGCCTTATGGAAGGTAGGTGCAAGTATAGGTAGACAGAAGCACGTGGCTGCAAATGGATCTGGAAAGGTCCGAGTTTGGTGTTGCGCATTGCCTCGTGATTCTAGAGGCCCATTTGCCAGCAATCCAGCAGCCGGAGAACAGGCTTTGCCCAAACGTGTTCTGGAACTCGTACGGAGCGTTGAAGTGGGCATGTAGCTGAGCAAGCTCGTCAGGGGCTGTCACTTGCTCCATTTTGTGCTGCCAGGGCTGACCTACTTCAGCACCCACTACAGGTGTCTCTCCAAGTTGGCCCTTTGACCAGCGTTAAACAGCTCTCTAAGCTCCTGCAGCACACACGTGTAAAAGCACGCGCCTCCCAGAGGGCCCAAGGATTGAAAGCGTAATGGGGGTCAAACTTCAAGCTCGCTTCGAAGTCAACACTCGCTGGAAACGTCGCCCTTGCGAGTTTGGAAACGCGCAGAGGGCACGCTGCAGAATCTCCACAAAGCAGCTGGACCATGGCGGGGCTTCAGGGGAAGCACCGCACGCCTTGCTTGGAAGCTTGTGAGTCTTGCTGACACCACCATGGGCATCATGACGTCGTAGAGCAGGAGGACGCTCCGCACCTCAGCCTTTTCTTTAAGCAGTAAGTGCCAAAAAGAGTCCGACACAGGCGACCTGCTTGAGTAATCAAGTTGAGAGCTGGGCAGGAAAAGTGGTTTACGACCGCTGCTCGCCGGCATCTAGAGCTTGCTGCGTTCTGCGTTGAGTAGGGCCGCCCTAAAGACAAAGTGCGTGTTTTCACCGCTTTCAAGTGGCTCTCAGTCAACGCACTGTTGAACATGAGCCCTAGGAAGCATTCGTTCGAAAGAGTAGCGGCGGTTAGTTCCCAGCTCTAGCAAGCCAAGGGCTATTTGTTGTGTCATGTCTCCGCTGCTTCCAACAGGATCGCCGCCAACTTGTCGTGGCAGCGCCGTGCTGGAAGGCACGAGCTTTCACCATAAGCAATGCGCAACAGATCTCCTTAGCCCGCCAAGCGAAACTGAGCAGCCGGTCCCAGCTGAGCCCCCTGACCACTTGCTGCGCACAAGCGGGCTGAATCCTGGCAAACAGCTTCTGACTACGCTTTGCTACGATGCTGCAGGCGCTCGAAAATTCTAATGCAGGGGGGGTGCCCTGAAAGCCAGATGATTCATCAAGGGACTGTGTCGCCCAGCAGTCCCAGCACCAGCGTGCCCCACATCATTGGAAGCGGGGCCGGGTTTTTTAGAAGTTGTGACGCTTTTTGCGATTTAGATGCTTTGTTGCAAAGAAGGCTGCCGCAAGCGTCGCGAGGCACAAGTTCTAGCTGGAATTTTAGGGCGCCGAGCGTCACATTCTTGGCAAGATGTTGCGCAACAAGCCCGGCATCACAGAGGTGAGAGCATCGGGGCAGGGGTGCCTCTATTTTGGAGCGAGCAGATACAAGCAATGCGCCTTGGCGTGCGTGCTCAATGCGCTGGCTCTCAGAGACGGTGATGATACACCACAGCAGCTGTCCACGTAACGACTTCGCGCCATCAGCCTTACCTCGGCCAGGCTCTTTTCCCGGTGGAGCGGATGCGGGCGTGCAGTGCTTTTCCTTATGACGACTTCGCAAGTGTCACCCTTGCCTACAATCAGCCAGGTCCTGCTCCTGCCTTTTACCGCGCTGCAGCCCCACGGCCTTCCTTGGCTTCCTTGTGGTCCGGTGATGTAGATCGAAGCCCCGCTATCCACGCAACGAATTTGTTCATTTGTCAGAGCGAATATCAGTAAACTTCATTGCTGGTAATGCTGGCAAAGCCTGTGATGCAGTTCTTAGATCAAGGCGATCCGTCAGGGCGAATATCAGCTAGGTTTTATTGCTGTTAATGCTGGCGATGCCGGTGATGCAGTCTATCGATGCGAGGGCCGTCCGCGCGACGAATTCGCTAATTCAGCAGAGCGTATATCAGCTAAACTTCATTGCTAGTAATGCTGGTGATGCTGGCAACGTGGGCGCCCTAGTTGGTGTGACTATCAGATGCTGCCACTGCGCCGCGCCTACAAGTCCTTGGAAAGCCTTGCTAGTTCCCAGACCCAAGCCCTTCAGGGGCCACTTGTTCGAAGCCGGAACAAGTGACACTAAAGTGCCTAATTGTTTTTAGGCCCGCCGGTCCTAAGCACAAGTGGCCCCTGACGCAACAAGTGTTGTGTTTGTGCTGGCGCCAAAATGCGTGAGCTGGCTTCCAAGGTAGAGAGTGGGTGCATGTTTCCACACGGCTTCAAGGGCAAGAACGAGAGCCGCAGCGAGCTGCAGAATGGGTTGAGCGAAGGGGCTCTTCTAAGGGGGGAATTTTGCCGGTTTCCAGGACTTGGGCCGGTTTCTAGAAGGGATTTGACAGGTTTATAGAGGGGAGTTTGACCGGTTTACGTGTGACGGTTTCTAGGGGAAATTTGGACGGTTTTGAGAGGGGACTTGGCTGGGTCTTTAAAGGATAGTTGCTTGGTTTCCAGATGGGAAGTTGACCGGTTTCTGGGTGATTTGATGAGCTTCTTTAAAACAGCCGGGAATTTGACTAGTTTTAAGAGGTCGCAAGATTGCGGTGGGGGTGCGGAGAAGATGGGGACTGGAGGCGGCTGGCGCAGGTCTGGCCCACACAGGATGGCCCGATCATTGGGTGAGGATGAGCATTCTAAGCCCCACTTTCACTTTCAGGTTATTTTTGTATAGATTTAGTCGTAGGAACCATGTTGGGAGCCATGCTCTGTGTGTCTGACGCCGCTTTACCTCAAGTGATGCCAGTGGCACCTCGTCCGGCCTAACCCTAGCTGATCTCAGTGTGACGGGGTGTTGCCAGCAATGCCCACGGGCCAACCCAAAACCCGCATTGGATTCATACTACCCTAGCGTGAATCCAGCAGAATCTGTGACAGTGGCAAGCCTAGCATTTGTTCAGCAGTGCTTGGCAGTCCGTGTCTCTTGACAAACTGCCCAATGCCCGGAATCAGCAACGCATGCACTTCCGTGTTGTTGCCTGATAGACCAATGAACTTCCCCGACACAAGTCGTGATGAGGCAGTGAAGTTGAAGCTAAGGGACATCGGCAATGGCACACGGAGTTACCCCTTGACAGCTCTTGACTTCAATCTGGTAAAGTAACTCCTATGTGGCGACCCTTGACCATTTGCTGAATGACCCGGCCAACCTCCAGACGCGCTCCCACGAAGATTCTTGGACTAGGTTGGGCTGGCGTGAGCTAGCAACTCACCTCATCTCCAGCCACCTGTGCCAGACCGATCTACGTGAAGCACGCTCCCTCCACATCAAGGAGGTGGAGATGTATGACAACCACATCCTATCCCGTGATCGCGCGCAGGTGTGCGAGCATGATCCTTGAAAGGCCCGGCCGAGACTGTTCCCTGAGCTGACAGCGAGCTCGCTGTCGATTCCCAGCCGAGAAAGGCTTCCAGGACAGATTGGAGTCATGCCAATCTTCCCGAAGCGAGCTGTGAAGCTTTGGGGCAAGTGCATGCCGCTGCTTGCAAGTTCTACAGTGATGCCAAACACACACTCCTGATCGGTTTTGTTGTTGTTTTGCTCCGGCCCCTCAACACTTGGAATTGCTTAGTCAGAGCTGGTGACCATTACTGAGTTACCTGAGTTGCCGACAAGTGCGTTGACAAAGTGCTACACATCTTCCACTCTGGCTTGCGCTTTCGATCGTGTGCCAAGTTGCGGCAACGTCGTGCAACGCACGGTGGCGAACATCTTGCGACCAACGCTTGAAAGGTTTGGTCGTGGCGCTGAGTGGCTTGAGTGGCCGGGGATGGCCGGGGTGCTCGGGGGGGCAATGGGTAGGCCGGCCAGTTCCTCTGAGCGATGTTAGGGGACCGAATCGGAGTGATGTTTGGTTTGAATATTGTCAACTTGTACCCTGTCGGCTCTATGTGCCCCTGACTCCATTGAGTGGAGTTCTCCACTTTGTCAGAACTGTCAGCCAACTTACAAAGCAGCGAACTGCTGCGAGTCAAAGATGTGATATGCAATGGTTTGGAGTCCTCTGCATTTTCAAGAGATGACTTGGGAAGTCGCAACTTGCGCACGATCGTCTCGAAGCTTGACTTCTCTGAGGACACCCCGTGTACACCCGTTGGAGGTTCGACGTAGGATGTCAGCCCGAAAGTCTTGCGCAACTTGATGGCCTTACCTGCAAGATGCAATCCACAGAGTGCAGCACAATGATCATCGCTCCAAGTACGAGCTCGAGTGCTGACAGCTTTCATTGCGGACAGCAAATATATGGATTAATGGTCGAATGACCAACAAGCACACAAATTGTTGGACGCATTGAATGCATGTCTACGAATATGCGGTCTCTTTGGGATTCCTTCGTCACATTCCACCACTAGTCCCAACACCCACCTCAAGGATCACGACTTGGCATGTGACAAGTGGGTTACCTGTTGTGCTTCCAAACTAGCTTTTGGTTGCCAGGGTCCCAGGCTTCTTGCACCCAAGTGCACATGACCACATACGCATGCTCTGCCCGCTCGCTGAACAAGCGTGGCCAGGGCATCTGAAAGCTGTGAAGCGAGCAAGCGCTCGCGGCCTCGGTGCCAAAGTGCGGAAGATGCCCACGTCAAGTGGGGTGATCAAGTCTGCGTGTGTTACCCGCTCGCAGCCACGTCAGATTGAGCTTCCCAACACAGCTGTGAAGCTTTGGGGCAAGTCACCCGTTGCTTGCGCTTTTCCCACGAGCGACGAGCGAGCGAGCGACTCGAGCGACGAATCGTTCCCTGGTTTAATTTTGTTCATACCGTAACACCCATTTCAGGTCCACGAAACAAACAGTTCCTGACCACCTGTTGCTTGCGCTTTCGACCCACGAGCGACGACTCGAGCGACTCCCGCGAGCGAGCGACGAGCGAGCGAGCGACGAATCGTCCGCCGGTCCGCGCGCCGAGGCCGTCACACGCTGCTGCTGCGCAGCGACGGCCAGGCGCTGGGCTTCGGGGCGGATGAGCACGGCCAGTGCCAGGCCCGGAGACCCGGGTCTCCCAGCGGAAGCCAGCGGTGCCCAGGGTGTCCAGTGATGGCTGGGGTAGACTGACTTAGGACACATTTTGCATTTTACCACTGACTCAAAGTGAAGCAAACAATAAAATATACATTCTATAACTGGGCCCAAATCTCATCATGATGGCTTAATGTTGACCCCGGATTTTAGAACCCCCTGCTTACTAACATGGGGGTGTCCCTGGTTTTAGTGGGGAGCTATCACTTTTGGAGGAGAACACCCCCTTTTAGTAAGCAGGGGTTTATTAATCCGGAGTCAACATTAGAACTGAGCTCCTTGACCACCGTCTCCCGCAAAAAATGAGGTTAGATCGACTACGGAAGGGATCCAGAAACTGCTAGATTCTGTCAATTGTGGGCCAGGCACCCCTTTGGTGGTGAGGGAAACCAACCGGAAAACCGAGAAGCGCCGCTTTGGGATCCTACAAGACGAGCCATCATCCCCACCTTAAAGCTGAAAAAGGGGCAGGGGGGTTAACCCAGGAACTCGTTTTTTTCCCTTGGGGAATACTAGGCAAATCGAGTTGGGTCCCAAATTTCAGGACCCCCCTCCCTCCCTCCTCCCCTCCCCTCCCAGCCCCTTCCGTCCCTCCCCGTCCCTGCCCCCATCCGGCGCTGTAGCTCGCCTAGGTCCCCCAGTAGTGCCCTTTTACAGAAAAAAAAGGGGTGCCCTTATTCTGATTTTGTACTGGAGCACCTAGTCGCTCCTCGCTTTTTCGGCGAACCCGAGGTGCCGGCTTTGGGCCCGGGCCTGCGGTACCTGCGCGCGGCCTGCGGCACCTGGCACACGGCGGGATTCCATGGCTCCAGTGGGTCCAATGGCGGGGGTGGCCCCCGAAGGCGCCTGGAAACCCCCTGAGGGAACCCGAGGAACTCCCTGACAGAACCCTTAAAGGAACCCTAGGAAACGTGTGAAGGAGCCAGAGCAACACCCTCGGAAATCCAAACGAACCCCGAGGAAATCCCAGAAAATCCATCCGGAGCCCTGGTGGACGAACTCCTCGGCACCACAAAAGGAAACCCAACGGAGTGATTCGATTCCCCGAAATCGAATACCAACAAACGTTAGGGGAAACCCCCATGCTTCAAAGTGGTGCGAACGGATTTCGTCCATCCACAATCAGGAACCCCAGTAAACCCTAAGGAACCGAACGGCCTCGCACCTACCCTCCTTGAGCCCCTGCTAAGCTGCTACACAGTCTGCGAGTGATTGGCCGTTTATGGCGTTCAGATCTTTGAGAATCCATGGCTCGCGTCCAGATGTTTCGGCGGCCTTTTGGGGCCCTATGGATCTTGAGCCCGAAAGCCTTGCCTGAAGTCCCGACGGCTTCATGCAGCTTGGTTTTGCCTTGAAGCACGCAGTTCCCTCACTTGAGGATCCTGTGTCCTCTATAGAAAGTGTTTCCCCCAAGGACAATCCGCGCAAAACACCGACCAAGCCACTCTCAAGCCTTCTGTTTTTGGTTGGGCTCTGACACGACGAAGTTCTTTTGGGCTAAAGCGTTAACCGTAGGTGGTCGCTTGTCTTGACTCTTAATAAGTATCCACTTGGGCCACCATTTTGGCTCAAGTGGACCTTTTGATCTTTTGTCTTGTGATTTGAAATCTTTCTTTCCCCTACTCTCAAAGCCATGTACGCCCCCGCCTACGCTGGTGCCGCGGTAGCAGAGGCCAAGGCTAAGGCAAAGGCCTCCATGGCAAAGTACCTGGCGAACCTCGTGAAGAGGGAGGAAGAAGGATGGACCGTTTTGGCTGCTGAGGTCCCTCAGGCACCTGACGAGCGTTTCTTCTCCAGCGCAGATGAGCTGGAGCAGGCCCCCCTTATCCCGGCCAAGCGCAAGGCAGAGGATGAGCCGATGGAAGATGCAGCCCCTGGGGTGGCGCAGGTGCCGAAGGCCCTGACACGCCCCTCAAGAGCGTTCCTGGAGCTCCTGAACCCGCCGGAGGAGGACGTGCCCATGGAGGAGCTCCTGGCGAGGGACGAGAAGGAGCTGCCGATGCCCAGGTTCCCCTCGGCTGCAGCCCGCTTGGAGGAGGCCCGCCTGGATGCCCGGGCAGACGCCAAGTGGCAGAGGCGCCGGGAGCTGATGGCGAAGGTCAAGGAGCAGGCGTCCTCGGAGGAGGATGAGAACCCCGCAGCCCCCCCGCCGGGGGGGAGCGTGTTCACCAAGGCCCTCAAGGTCTCGGAGGGCCTCTACCAGTTCAGCGACGACCAGATGGCGGGCGACTTCCCTTGCTTCGATGCGACCACGGCCACTAGGCTCCGCCGACTGCAGGCCAAGGACGTCCAGCGGCTCCTGCGAGGCTTTGAGGGCCCCCACTCAAGCAGGGGGGCCTGGAGCGCGTTGTGGAGGCCTTCTACATCGCCAAGATGAAGTACGAGCATGAGGCCCGGCTCAGCACCCCGGGACAGCAGGTTGGCAAGCGCGCTGGCTTGGGGTACGGGGGCCTGGAGAACCGCCCCCTGGGCAAGGTGCCCACATCCTGGATCTGCCCCTGCTGCACCATGCCCTGGGTGAAGAAGGGCGCCACGAAGTGCATGGGGTGCGGCAAGAAGACGGAGCCCATTGACACGGCGACCAACTCGGCCACCCTGGAGATGGCGGGCACGCATTGGCAGTTGACGGTGGATGACCAGGGCAATGCGGTCTGGACGGCGGCCCGGTCCGCGGGTGCCGAAGGCCCTGACACGGACCGGGCCCGCGACCTCAAGCTCAGTGCCTCGGTGGACGTCAGCGAGCTGGCCACCGACCCGATGGCCTGCGAGAACCCGGACCAGGCCAGCTTCTCGGACTTCGTCCCCTCCTCGGTCCGGGCGGTGATCAGGAACTGCCCCATGGAGCTGGACGAGGAGTTTCTGACGGCCCCACCGGGGGAGAGGCCCCCATTGCCAGGCGACAAGGAAGAGGGCCAGGAATGCAGAGCCTTCCACCCGTCTGCGGTGAAGGCCTTCAAGATTCAGACCCGGCTCAACGCCACCACCATCGCCCAGGAGGAGGCCAAGAAGGCGGACCAGGTGGAAGCGGTGGAGCGCTCCGCGGCGGTCCTCCACGAACTTCAAGGGGGGGCCATTGACGGAGGAGGTGATGGAGGCCTGCTCCTGAAGAACCTGGACTTGGACCTCTTCCGTGAGAAGCTGCTGGACAAGCTGGGTGCGGACTGGGGGAGACCCACACCGGAGCTCCTCCAGGCCCAGACCACTGCGGAGGAGGCGAAAGCGAAACACCAAGCCAGACAGGCGAAGGGCTCCCTCGAAACCAGAATGCTCGAGCCCATCGCGCCTCCCTTCAGTGCGTGGCCTAGTGAGGTCCGGGTCGCCATTGAGACTGGGGTCTTCGAGCCGACAACGGCATGGAGGGACTTCAGTATGGACGACCTCACATCCCTCACGGACTCCTACCTTGAGGCCAAGGCGGTCATCTCGCTGGGTAGGAATCCCTTCCCGGCGGCCCTCCTGTCAGATCTGCCGGACCTGACAGGGATCCCCATGCCAAAGGCGGGGGGCTCTGGTGCGGCGCGCCCAGGTGCCGAGGGCCCTGACAGGCCGCCCACCATCCCCCCAGCCTCGGGCTCTGGCGTGACGAGCTCAGGTGCCGAGGGCCCTGACAAGCCGTCCGCCACCCCGGTGGGCCTGGACACCAAGGACCCGGAGGTGCAGCTCTCGGTCCTGCGCTGGATGATGAGCAAACGGGTCGGAGAGGTCCGTATCTTTGCGGGCCGCTGGGTCCGACGACCGGGCCCGGTACACGTCCCGGATTGGGCGAAAAACCTCACCAAGGTGAATCCGGAGGCGTTGGAGAAGGGTACGCATCCCAGGAACCACCAGGTGGGTGGACTCCCCTGGGCCAGGTACTCCGTTGATGAGTTGCACCAGCAGGCGAAGGCGGGGGACCGACCCTACCCTGGGGACCTGCGATCCATCTTTTGGGCTGCCCCCCACGATCCGGATGAGGACTTCCACTGGACGCGCCAGATCTCGTCCTGGACACTCCCAGGCCTACTGGGGATGTTCGGGCACAGCTACACCCTGCGCCAGCTCTGGGGAGTCTGGGAGTCTCTGCCACTGCTGCAGGGCCCTAGGCAGCGGGGCCCGAAAAACAAGGCCCAGAATCAGACCCGCCTGGAGGGCTGGGAGACCCTGAAGGAGGACGCGCGGTGCTTCCTGAAGGAGGAGGGCCTTCCGTTTCCGCAGACAGGACCGGAGTGGCGATTGGTCTACCGGGCCATGGGCAAGGTCCTCGCGGCCCGGGCCTTCCTCACGGACACCCCGGCGGAGGTGATGCAGCTCCCGGTCCAGGACGTGGCGGACTCCAAGGAGCAGATGATCCTGCGGGCGGTATGCGACGAGCGCATCTCGGTCCCGGTGGAGAGCCTCCAGCAGTTCCCAGAGGTGTACAAGGCCCTCATGGACCGCATTGGAGGCCCGGGGGCCCTGGCGGAGGTGAAGGTCAACTGGCGCTGCAACACGAAGCAGTGGTGGGTCGGCGCAGTCCCCGACTCAGTGGCCCCCTCCATCTACCGCAAGCTCGGCTACACCAACGACATGATCAAGCTGATGGGCCTGGACCCCTCCGCCCCTGGGTGCCGGACAGGTGCCGATGGCCCTGACATCCGCCCCAGGGGAGGCGAGGGCGATGAGGGGATCGTTTACCCCCCCATCACGGCGGACAACGTCCACGGCGTGGTGGGTAAGGACTACCGGAAGAAGAACTATCCGGTGGAGATGAAGCATGTCTTCTGGGCGCACATGGAGTGTGGCCTGGTCCTGAGCTCCGTCACCCCGTGGGAACTCATCCCGAAGACAAAAGGGGAGACCCGGGGGGGCTACATGTGCAAGTATTGTAAGGGGTACTGGCGTGCCGGGGGAGGGGGCACCCGCCTCCTCCAGATCCGGGCCGGCAAGGCCATCTTGCAGCTGGTGTTGGACGAGCCGCCGGAGGGCCTCTACAACCGCTGGGTGAAGGAGCGGCTGGAGTACTACCGCCGGGTGGAGCCCTCGGCCCCGTTGCGGGACGTCTCCATCGTGGACCAGAAGGTGCCCAGGTTCAGATTCAGCCAGACCACCCAGACAGGCCACGTCTCCAATGCCATCTGGGAGCTGATTCTGCGGAATCCGGAGGCTGCTGCGCTCAAGCGCATCGATGACATCGCGAAGGGGGCCGCGTGATGATGCGGGACAACGCCATCTTCCGGCACACCATCCAGGACCGCGGCCATCCGGAACGGATGCGCAGCGCACCCCGGGGGGGGGACAGCTGCCGAAGGCGCTGATATCCCCCCCCAGGGAACAGCGCAGGCCCAGACTTGCACCAGGCGAGGAAAATTGGCGCGGCTTGGGCTGATCCGGGGTGCGCCTTGGTTCCCCTCTCTTGTTTGGTTTTCCCTTTTCGGGGCGGCTCCCTGGGTCCCCCTTTTTCCCCCGTTTCCTCCGTTTCGGGGTTGACTTTCCGGGGTTTTGGGGGGCCCCCTGTTGTTTGGTTGGGGTTTGCACCTAGGGACTAGGCCCCCGGCTCGAGTGGATCATGATGATGTGGAGGCCCCGCCTCCCTTCCCCGTTTGGGACGACCTTCCTAGGGGCGCCAACCGCGCTCCAGTTGATTTTGCATGACCTTGGATTTGCACCAGTGCAGTCGGACGGGGAAATCCTCGTGGCGTGCTGCCTGGAATGGGTCAAAAAGGACAAGGTCGCCAACCCGGATGCGGTGGTCTTTGACCCGCGGCCGTGGACACGGATCGTGGGGCTGGCACCTGACGGCAACCACGTCCTGGTGGCCTCGGACACCTACAACT